TAAGCATGTGCAATGATTCATTCCCGTGGAAGTTAGCATAAGCCATGGCGATTAAAAGAAACTTGTTTGTTTTGAAGAATTTTTCAAAATTAACAAATATTTTCAAAAAAATTCTAATTCAAGTGACTTATTCAGATTGAAACTTGCTTCGTCCTATTTGTTGTTTTGATTCATAAAAAGTTATCGTCTGATTTTCCTCATCTGTATACGGTATCCCGTGATCCTCTTGAAAAATCGTACGTGTAGGAAGTTGAAAGATTCAAGCGAAGCCAACGTCGGAAATTGCACATCCGACCAAAACCGGAAAAAATAGACATGTCAGGTTTTGGTGTCATCTCATTAAAGCAGTTGTCGACACAACACATCATTTGATTCCCACCCCTTAAGGAAATGATACAAAAGACGTTGTAAGAACTTTGCAATTACCATCAAACGATTTTCCTTCTTAGCTCCATTATCACGAATCAAGTTAATCGGTATTAATTCAAATAAATCACAGATATAGGTCCTGTGATAAAACAAAACTTCAATAGTAAGTTACGATGTAGTAAGCCTTCCAAAGTTTGATTAGTTATTGTCAAGGCTGACTATGGTTGTAACAGTATTTTGGTGCTAATACACATAAATTTGTTATGGGAAACTATTTTGCATAAATGTTTCAATTAACTATTCATTTCTCTCTCAAACTTTAAGTTAGGCAACGGGTGTGGTAGGAAAGAGGAATAGGAAGATGTTGTTGCGCCAACTTTCTAGAAAACTGATATTCCTGATGTTGAAATTTTGTCTATTCAAACATCATTCTCTTCTGTGAATTGCATGTAGGTAAGTCTCTAAGCCACACATAAAGCCACAGCTGCATTTTTCCTTATCCGGTCTGATGGTTCCTGAAATCCATGTAAAAAAACTTGAAAGAGCTGGAAATCGAAACAAACAAAAACATTACTGTTATGGGATCTTACCCATAATAATAATAATGGACTATCCCATACTTAACAAATGCTGCGCCTCAGGAGTAGGCAAGGACTCAGTCAGTCATTCACTTCTGAACCGACTGTTCGGTTGAACTCTCTGCCTTCGGGCGGGGAGGAACCCGAACGAAGGCTACGCCGAGGGGCGGAGTCTCGTTCGGGAGGTAAACAACCCCTGGAGCCCGTTTGTACGGGTTCAATGGGCATATTCCCCAGGGCCGAGCCCACGGGCTCGGAGAACCCAATAAATAACCGACCTTGTGTCACATGCTGCCCCAGTGGGAGGGGGTGACCGAATATCGTCAGTCAGTTGTTCAAGTCGAGTCAAGAGTCGAGTCAGAGGCAGTCCGTTCAGACAATTACTGCAAGACATTGGAATAGTGATACTGGTCGAGACTACATTGTTCTCTCTACTAAACCTGATTGTTCATACTAACACTTCTACTTCTCTGCATATATTCCTGTTTGTAATATATCTGTGTTATTCCATACCTGTGTTCGCGTTCTTATTTATTGGTTTTACCTTGGACTATCACCGTGGTACAAGGAACCGGACCATAACAATTACTGACATACGACAAGAAATATAATGAAATGGCTACGCTCAGTAGACGTCTTTATGTATATTTATTTTTATAAATAATAAAAAAGAACCAAAGATTGAGACCCGGAGGATAGCCGCAATACGAAAGGATAAGTGTTTCGAAGAAGATGACAGTGGCGGGCGTCCATTTTGGTTTGGTTTGTTTTGCTTAACGACATATCAACATCAATGGGTTATTTAATCCCGACAGACTTCAAAGTGGAACATTAAGAGAAGCTTTAGTAACCCCAGCAAGCGAGATTATCTCAAAGAAATCTAGGCAAGGAAAAAAGGAGTGTATATTAAATGTAATTCTCTACATGACAAAAAGGAGAAGGCTAAAAATGCCAAATATAATAGATTACTCAAAGAAATAAGAAACGGTTGGTTGGTTGTTTTGTTTTATGGCCTATCAATTCTCTGTGGATAATTTGGTACCTTAAATTTAGCATACCTACTGAGATGAGGGCAATAGTCTGAATGTAAATAGTGTAAATACATGTTGAATTATTTCTACCAAAATTGACTTCAAGCTTTTAAAAGAAATTTCAAGATGGCAGTCAATCAATATTTATCAAAAAGCTCTAAAAGGTATCAATCTTGGCCTGTTGATTTGTGTTGGTCACTACTGGTAAGAAATGTTAAAAAATACTCTTTAAATAATGCTAATTAAATGAGAATAGAAATTTAAAGTGGAACATTAAGCTTTAGTAACATCAGCAAGCGAGATTATCCCAAAGTAATCTAGACAAGGAAAAAAAGGAGTGTATATTAAATGAAATTCTGTACATGACAAAAAGGAGGAGGCTAACAACGCCAAAATATGGTACAGAATATAGTTGATTACACAAAGAAATTAGGAACGGTTGGTTGGTTTTTATGACATATCAACCTCAGTGGGTCAATTTAATGTCAACAATTTTTTTTAAATAGATTCAGAGCAATAGTTTGGTAAAAAAAAAAGTTGTGCATGTATGCATAGATATATTTGAACCATTTTTCAATTACTCATATTTCTGAGTACAATCACATCTAGTGCTGGTATTTTTTTCTCAAAAACGTATTGCTGGTAATGTTTTTTTTTTAAATATATTGCTGGTAATAGTTTTTTTCTTCAAAAATTAATTTCTGGTAATAATTTTTTACAAGTATTTCTGTTATTAAAACCTATATTTACACTTTTATAATGTTTTTACCTCAGTTACGGGGTTAACTATTTGCCCATAGCTGGAACCCTAACAGGTGCTACCACCCCGGATCAGGGTGGACCTGGGAACACCAGCAATTAAAAAGTGGTTCCACGTTCCTCATAACCTCTTTATCAGAGGCCTTACTGTTTGACATAGTTTATTGTCTTACCCTGGACGCGGATGTAGTTTATCGTCTTACCCTGGACGCGAATGTAGTTTATCGTCATATCCAGGATATTCAAGTCTGAAGTGGAATCAGCCCTGGCCAAATTGAAAAGGAACAAAGCAGCAGGACCAGATGGAATCATACTAGATTGGTTTGGTTTGGGGCATATCAACTTCAATGGGTTATTTAATGTTGACAAATTTTTATAGCTGGTAGTATTTTTCTAAAAAAGTACTGCTGGTAATAATTTTTCCTTCAGAAATATATTGCTAGTATTAAAACCTATTTTTACACTTTCATAGTGTTTTAACCCTAGTTTGCGGGATTAACTATTTGCCCATAGTTGGGACCCTATCAGGTGCTACCACTCTGGGTCAGGGTGGACCTGTGAACACCAGCAATTAAGAGGTGGTTCTACGCTCTTCAAAATCTCTTTATCAGAGGCCTTCCTGTTGGACATAGTTTATCGACGTGGGTGTCGTTTATCGTCATACCCAGGACACCCCATTGGGTGGGGGTCGTTAGAAACAGATGCAGGCAGAAAAGTGTACAGGAAATGAAAGAATGAGGATCCCAGATAATGCAAATATGCATAAAAGAATAAGAGAAATAACAGGACAAAAATGCATTCATCAACAAGATGCATAATATCAAAAGATAATAGAAAAAGAAAAAAAAAACAGTTTAAAAGATCATCAGAGAACTCTTCCGTGATTAATAGACAAAAATATGGAAGGACCAGAAATATTCAAGTCTGAGGTGAAATTAGCCCTGGCCAAATTGAAAAGGAAAAAAACAGCAGGACCAAATGGAATCATATGAGATTGGGTTGGTTTGAAATATAGACCGACCCTTTTCTTTGTTCCGAACTATATATTCTCGTTTCTTTTTTTATTTTATTTTTTTAGCTTTTGGATTGTTTATTTCTCGATTCCAATGGGCCCATGGATATAGGTCTCACATTTTTCGTCGCCTTAATTCCGAGGTCTAAAATTCATAACTCACATCTTCAGCCGTTCCTCTTGCTTACGGCCATGCATCCTGTCTTCTTACATTTGACAGTTAGTCCTTTCTTCTCCCTTTCCTTTACAATCTTTATGTTTCTGCTCTCAAGATCTGATGGTTATCAGATATATCACTGATTCTACTTAATTTTCTTATTCTTTTGTTTGGAATGTTTTACGGCATATCAACCTCAATAGGTTATTTAATACCGACAATTTTTTTTATTTCTGGTAATATTTTTTTTCCAAAAATGTATAGCTGGTAATATTTATTTATTTATTTTTACAAAAAATGTATTGCTGGTAATAATTTTTTACAAAAAAAGGATTTCTGGTATTAAAACCTATTTTTACACTTTCATGCTGTTTTGACCCCAGTTTAGGTGTTTTTGCGCATAGTTGGGACCCTAGTAGGTGATACCACTCCGGGTCAGGGTGGACCTGGAAACACCAGTAATTAAGAGGTGGTTCCACGCTCCTCAAAACCTCCTGATTAGAGGCCTTGTTGGTGGATGAAGTTTATCGTCTCACCCAGGACACGGATGTAGTTTATCTTCATACCGGACGGAAACTTTTAGGTAGTGCATGCCAAAACAGACCAAAGATCTGACACAAAATTTCCCCAAGTGCCAACAAAAATTTTTGTCACCTCAAAACTAGCAGCAACTAAGTTGGAAGTCGGCCTACCTGAGATAAAGGTCATAAAAGTATCATTCTGTTATTTGTCTTGCTCAATTCACAAGAAATTCATTCTTTTTTTTTCCTCTTCACTTTTATTGCTTAAGTTCTTATGAACACTTTCAAAATGTCCATTATCAGAAGACGTCATTCAAACGATTGTTTCGGAACAGAAAATGCATAAGGCCTTATTTTCTTTTTTAATCATACCACATTTTTCAGTCCAGTGTTCTTTAAATTCTCTATCTTCATTTGAATAGCACCATTTCTTAGCTAATGATCGTGACATTCTGCACAATCTATAAAGGGGCGAAAATAAAAATACATGAGATAATGATATACATGAAGAAGGAGAAAGAATAAAAGGGAATCTAATGACTAAATTCTCACGCTCCTCTTCCAGATACACTCATGCTACTCGTCTCCTACTGCTCCAGCGTTTGCCTAATGCTCATACCAAAGGTTGCCGACCCCTGGATCAGCATACCTCAGGAGAAGAAGAAACCTGCAACATTAACCATTTGAACTCTGCTGGCCTATTTTATGAATACTGATCCTACTCGTCTCTACTCATCTCTGCTGTCCCTGTCTCTCTGCTCGTCTCTACTGCTCCATCTCTGCTGCTCATCTCTGCTGCTAATCTGCTGCTGCTAACATTCTGCTGCCTGTCTCATCTCTGCACTGCTCATCTCTGCTGCTCATCTCTGCTGCTAATCTCTGCTGCTCAATCTCTTCTGCTCGTCTCCCCACTGCTCATCTCCCTGCTGCCTAATCTCAGCTGCTAATCTCTGCTCCCCACTGCTCATCTGCTGCTGCTCATCTCTGCTGCTCATCTCTGCTGCTCATCTCTGCTGCTAATCTCTGCTGCTCATCTCTGCTGCTCGTCTCTACTGCTCATCTCTGCTGCTATTCTCTGCTGCTAATCTCTGCTGCTCGTCTCTACTGCTCATCTCTGCTGCTAATCTCTGCTGCTAATCTCTGCTGCTCATCTCTGCTGCTCATCTCTGCTGCTAATCTCTGCTGCTCGTCTCTACTGCTCATCTCTGCTGCTCATCTCTGCTGCTAATCTCTGCTGCTCAACTCTGCTGCTCGTCTCTACTGCTCATCTCTGCTGTATCTGCTGCTCTCTCTGCTCGTCTCATCTCTCTCTGCTAATCTCTGCTGCTCGTCTCTACTACTCATCTCTGCTGCTAATCATCTCTGCTTTCTAATCTCTGCTGCTCGTCTCTACTGCTCCTCTACTCTCTGCTGCTATCTCTCTGCTGCCGTCTCTGCTCGTCTCCTATCTCTCTGCTGCTCATCTCTGCTGCTCACTGCCGTCTCTGCTGCTCTCTGCCTCCATCTCTGCTGCTCGTCTCTCTGTTCTCATCTCTATCTCCATCTCTGCCTAATCTCTGCTGCTAATCTCTCTGCTGCTGTCTCTGCTCAACTCTGCTGCTCATCTCTCTGCTAATCTCTGCTGCTCAACTCTGCTCGTCTCTACTGCTCATCTCTGCTGCTAATCTCTGCTGCTAATCTCTGCTCTGCTGCTAATCTCTGCCTCCTCTCTGCTGCTGCTCTGCTACTCGTCTCTGCTGCTAATCTCTCTGCTGCTCTCTGCTGCTATCTCTCTGCTGCTAATCTCCTTCTGCTCTCATCTCTGCTGCTCATCTCTGCTCGTCTCTGTCTCCTGCTCATCTCTGCTGCTCATCTCTCTGCTGCTCGTCTGCTCATCTCTCTCTATTCTCTGCTGTCTCTACTGCTCATCTCTGCTGCTCATCTCTGCTGCTCATCTCTGCTGCTCGTCTAATCTCTGCTGTCTCTGCTCTAATCTCTACTGCTCTAATCTCTGCTGCCGTCTCTGCTGCTCTGCTGCTATTCTCTGCTGCTAATCTCTCTGCTGCTCTCATCTCTGCTGCTACTCTGTCTCTGCTGCTCTACTGCTCATCTCTGCTGCTATTCTCTGCTGCTAATCTCTGCTGCTCGTCTCTGCTGCTCATCTCTGCTCATCTCTGCTGCTATCTCTGCTCGTCTCTGCTGCTCTAATCTCTGCTGCCAACTCTCTGCTGTCTCTACTGCTTCTCTGCTGCTAATCTCTGCTGCTCGTCTCTACTGCTCATCTCTCATCGTCTCTACTGCTCATCTCTGCTGCTCATCTCTGCTGCTAATCTCTGCTGCTCATCTCTATCTCTGCTGCTCATCTCTGCTGCTCATCTCTGCTGCTAATCTCTGCTCATCTCTCCAATCTCTGCTGCTCGTCTCTACTACTCTCTCTGCTGCTAATCTCTGCTCTCTCTGCTCAATCTCTGCTGCTCGCTATCTCTCTGCTGCTGGTAATCTCTGCTGCTCGTCTCTCTGCTAATCTCTGCTGCTCATCTCTGCTGCTCATCTCATCTCTCAGTCTCTGCTCTCTCTGTGCTAATCTCTCTCTGCTAATCTCTGCTGCTAATCTCTGCTGCTCATCTCTGCATATCTCTCTGCTGCTCTGCTCATCTCTACTGCTCTGCTGTCTCTGCTAGCTGTCTCTGCTCATCTCTGCTAATCTCTCGCTCGTCTCACTGCTCATCTCTGCTGCTCATCTCTGCTGCTCAACTCTGCTGCTCTCGTCTCGTCTATTCTCTGCTCATCTTTAGTCTGCACTCATTCTCTGCCATCTCTGCCTAATCTCTGCTGCTCGTCTCTACTGCTCATCTCTGCTGCTCATCTCTGCTGCTAATCTCTGCTGCTCAACTCTGCTGCCGTCTCTGCTGCTATTCTCTGCTGCTAATCTCTGCTGCTCTACTCTGCTACTCGTCTCTCTGCTCATCTCTCTGCTCATCTTCTCTGCTGCTAATCTCTGCTGCCGTCTCTACTGCTCATTCATCTCTGCTGCTGCTAATCTGCTGCTCAACTCTGCTGCTCGTCTCGACTGCTCATCTCTGCTGCCATTCTCTCTGCTGCTAATCTCTGCCTGTCCCCTCTGCTGCTCTGCTCATCTACTGCTCTCTGCTGCTCATCTCCTCTGCTCGTCTCGACTGCTCATCTCTGCTGCTCATCCTGCTGCTAATCTCTGCTGCTAATCTCTGCTGCCTTTTCTCTACTGCCTCCTCTGCTGCTAACATCTCTGCTGCTCTCACTGCTCATCTCTGCTGCTCAACTCTCTTGCTGCTCGTCTCTGCTGCTTTTCTCTACTGCTAATCTCTGCTGCTGCATCTCTGCTCGTCTCTACTGCTTCTCTGCTCATCTGCTGTCTCTACTGCTCATCTCTGCTGCTCATCTCTGCTGCTATTCTCTGCTGCTCATCTGCTGCTCGTCTCTACTGTCTCTGCTGCTCATCTCTGCTGCTCATCTCTGCTGCTAATCTCTGCTGCTCGTCTCTCTCTACTGCTCACCTGCTCGTCTCTGCTGCTCTGCTCTGCTCTCTCTGCTGCTAATCTCTGCTGCTAATCTCTGCTAATCTCTGCTGTCTCTGCTGCTCATCTCTGCTGCTAATCTCAGCTGCTCGTCTCTCTACTCTCTGCTCATCTCTGCTGCTATTCTCTGCTGCTCATCTCTGCTGCTAATCTCTGCTGCTCAACTCTGCTGCTCATCTCTGCTGCTCATCTCTGCTGCTAATCTCTGCTGCTCTGCTGCTCGTCTCTGCTGCTCATCTCTGCTGCTCATCTCTGCTGCTAATCTCTGCTGCTCGTCTCTCTGCTCATCTCTGCTAATCGCTAATCTCTGCTGCTCGTCTCTACTGCTCATCTCCTGCTGCTCATCTCTGCTGCTCTCTCTCCTCATCTCTGCTGCTCATCTCTGCTGCTAATCTCTGCTGCTCAACTCTGCTGCTCGTCTCTACTGCTCATCTCTGCTGCTATTCTCTGCTGCTAATCTCTGCTGCTACTCTGCTGCTCGTCTCTACTGCTCATCTCTGCTGCTCATCTCTGCTGCTAATCTCTGCTGCTAATCTCTGCTGCTCGTCTCTACTGCTCATCTCTGCTGCTCATCTCTGCTGCTAATCTCTGCTGCTCAACTCTGCTGCTCGTCTCTCATCTCTGCTGCTAATCTCTGCTGCTCGTCTCTACTGCTCTCTCTGCTGCTCATCTCTTGCTGAATCTCTGCTGCTCGTCTACTGCTCATCTCTGCTGCTCATCTCTGCCTTGTCTCTCTCCTGCTCATCTCTGCTGCTGCTCATCTCTCTGCTATTCTTCTCTAATCTCTCCTGCTCGTCTCCTGCTCATCTCTGCTGCTCATCTCTTCTGCTACTGCTCATCTCTGCTGCTCATCTCTGCTGCTCATCTCTCCTGCTCGTCTCTACCCATCTCTGCTGCTCATCTCTTTGCTAATCTCTGCTGCTCGTCTGCTGCTCTCGTCTCATCTCTGCTGCTCATCTCTGTTGCTAATCTCTGCTGCTCGTCTCACTGCTCATCTCTGCTGCTCATCTCTGCTGCTTAATCTCGCTGCTAATCTCTGCTGCTGCCTGTCTCTCATCTCTGCTCATCTCTGCTGCTCAACTCCAACTGCTGCTCGTCTCTCCTGCTCATCTCTGCTGCTCCCACTGCTGCTGCTCGTCTGTACTCACTGCTCATCATCTAGTCTCTGCTGCTCATTCTCTGCTGCTAATCTCTGCTGCTCAGTCCTCACTGCTCGTCTCTGCTGCTCATCTCTGCTGCTAATCTCTGCTGCTCAACTCTGCTGCTCGTCTCTACTGCTCATCTCTGCTGCTAATCTCTGCTGTCCATGATTCTGTGAAATCTGAAAGCCTCCCGGATATATCCATTTTCACAAAGTGTCCGAAATTCTAATTGGTGTCTTGCTATTAATTCTCTTTAGTTAAATCTTCACGACAATTTTCTAATCTACCTATAGTCCTATAGTGTCCCTATAAAAGATGAAAATAGGAAATGCCAGATAATCCATGAGTATGCATTGTAGCCCCGCTTCTATTAATGGCTCCATCATTTATAAAAAAAACGAGGTAGTTTGTTCGTTGTTTGGGAATATTTATGTGGGTGTTATAATTATTTGCATCCTCAACTTAGTTGTGATCCTAATTTTTATTCCATAGTGTCCTCCCTCCTACCTCAGGTGTATATCAATCTGGGTAACCTACAGGGAAATCCTTTTATTTGATCTACGAGGGTAGACTCTTCCATTGCCCAGGTCTAGGGACATCTGGTCTAATTGTTATTTTTATTATGACACTTTATTTAATCAGCGGGGGTAGACTGTTCCACTGCGCATGTTTATGCATATCTCGTCTAATACTTATTTTAATTACTACTCTTTATTCAATCAAAGCGGTAGACTGTTTCACTGCGCATGTCTAAGGATATCTCGTCTAATTCTTATTTATATTACTACCTTTATTTCATCAAAAGGAATAGAGTATTCTATTTCCCATGTCTAGGGATATCTCATCTACTTCTTTCGTTCTCCTTAGATACTTCTGTGTGTGTGTGTGGGGGCATGATCTGTTTAGTCCTTTTGTTTATATTTGTCGATTTTTTCGTGTATTTGCAGGCAAGAATAATTGTCTGATATATTGACATATTTTTTAATTTACCTTGATTAGATTTGTAGATGTGTTGTGATACAAAGCGTTTTCTGTTGTATGGTAATTTGATGTTACTCTTGTGAAGGGAATCTCTGTTTAGTGCTTGGTTGATACGTCTATAGAACTTGTTGCATTTTGTGCCATTTTTGGAGTTGCAGTTTAAATTTTTATTTATTGTGAATGTTGTAGTCGTTTTTTTAAATGTATTGGACTTTCCTTCTATAATGATATCACAAACCACACATCTTTTTTTTTTTTTTTTTTTTGCATATTGTGACCGCCTTTATCGGGTGTTGGCTAAATTTGGATGAGGTTAATGTGTTTTAGGTTTTTTGGTTGGCGTTTTCTTTTAATTATTTTGGTTGTTTTTAGCATATTTTTCATTTTATCATTCTTGTCAAGTAGGTCTAGATTTCTCGTAATTTCTGTAAGTATTTCTGGATTGATCTTGTTGTATGTTGAGACATATGCTAAATTTTGTTCGACGTTACGTTCCTCTGAATTTCGTAGTTGGTCTAAAGGTATTTTTCTGCTAGTTTAAAAAATTTGTGTATTAGTGTTGTGGGGTAAACTCGTGTTTTTAGAGTTTTATGTAGTTTTTCCAGACAGGAGGTGTTTGTCGGTCACTATAGTGAAAACCTTATGGAATAGGGGATGGATTTTAGACAGCTTTTTGGGTGATGGCTCTTGAAATGACGATATTGTTGGGTGTCTGTAGGTTTGTGGTAGAAACCTGTGATTATGTGGTTAGTTATATTTCTATATCTAATGAGTATATCTAAACATTGGTAATTCTTTAAATTATATTCTTGTGTGAATTTGATTTTCGGGTGTAAGTTTTCAAGTAAAGTTTGTAAATGGTTAATATCGCCCCATGACGATTTCCAGAAAATGCATCAATCATTTAAGTATCGCTTCCAAGATATAGTGAAGTGGGTTTTTATATTTTCCCCAGAAATTTATTCTATCTGTCCATATAGGTTTTCCTCTAGGTAAGCTAATGTTAGGGTCGCATATGTTGGTGGCATTTTCGTTCCCATTGCGTTTTTTAGGATATAGCTTTCGTTGTCAAATCCATAAGAGATATTACTTGGAATTAGGTCTAAACTATCAATAATGAATTCCTCTCTTCTTTTTAAAATATAAACTCTTCTCTAGTTGGAACAACTATAACCTCTCCTTTATATATATATATATATATATATATATATATATATATATATATATATATATATATATATATATATGTGTGTGTGTGTGTGTGTGTGTGTTTGCAGATATTACTGTTCGCTGTATCGCTTTCCTCAGTGCGACTAGACAACCGAATGTTTCAAGCCAGGATCGATATATATATATATATATTGATTTGTTAAAGTTTGTTTTGTTTACGGCATATCAACCTCAATGGGTTATTTAATGCCGAAATTGTAATGCGGCTAATAAAACCTATTTTCACACTTTCATTGTGTTTTGACGCCAGTTTGTTTGTCAATAAAACCTTAAATTTTAAAGACACACTTTCGCTTTCGCTTTTAAATTGATTTATGTTTTGACGCCAGTTTGTAAAAATTGCAAACATTATGCACAAATAATTACTTTTTTCTATTAGAGGATAACGAGTTATCCATCTGCGCAACACACTGTTTTTGCACATACTATCTATGGGAGTCTATTTAAATTTCGTATGTGTCTGCGTCTGTGTCTGTTATATATATATATATGATGAAGAAATATAGTCTTAGGTGTTATATTTTATGGGATAAAGCTCAATATCAGAGACTTATAGAAGTCAACACTTAGAGGCGACAGTCAGTTTCATGCTATAGCAATCGTCAGGCCACGTGTTGTTATTTTTCTTGGTTATTTATGTATATACGGGTCTGTAGTGCATTGTGGGTAGTTTAATATGGCGGTTATTTTACCGGAAAATCTAGAAATTATTTTGCTTGTTTTTATTTATTTTTCATTTTTTTGTTTCTTATTTATTTATTTATTTTAATCGGCGTTTTTTATTAACGTAGTAAAAATTTGTTTATATCACTTATTTAATAGTTTTGTTTTCGTTTGAGAATTTAATTAAAGCTATTTGTTCGGTTTTGGGGTTGATTGTTGTATATTCTAAAATTTGGCAGGAACAGTTTTAATTTTGTTTATTTGGATTGATTATTTGTTTTTTTCTAACGGTAACTTTATCGGGGATCGGTTTGTTTATTTATTTACTTGGGTGAATTTAGGTCAATTTATTTCTTTGTATATTTTCTCTTTTTTTTCTAACGTAGTATTTATTTATTTATTTATTATTTTTATTTTATTTTATCTTTTATTTTTATTTTAATTTATTTTTATCGTTATATTACAGTTATAGCTATTTTTTTCGTCCGATTTTTTGGTTTGATTTTTTAGTCTAACTAATATTTTGGTCATAATAGTTTGCTACTTTGTTTATTATTTACATTATTATTTGGGTTCGTTGTTTATTATTATTAGTATTATTATTATTATTATTATTATTCTATTTCGTCTATTCTAACAGGTGTGATTTGT